AGATTCCCAGAAAAGTCACAGTCAGATTGGTAAAAATATTATTACTCTTTCTTTGTAAAAAAAAATTACTCACAACTCTTGTATTGATCTTGTTGAACCAGATCAGTCCAATAGTCCAGGTACAAGCAAAAATCATCATGAAGACAAGGCACCGATTGGGAAAACATAGGCCAAACTATAGGTGGGAGAGCTTGCGGGAATTGCGGTAGGTACCATTGTCATGCTTAACATACTAATAGCAGGGTAATTAGATTCAACTATTGTTCTGTTTAAACTGTAGCCAATAGCCATGTGGTGTTCATTTTTGCATCTTGGAGTGTTCATCTAGTTTCTATTTCCCCTTTAATAATTCGACAGATCATGTATTCCTATGTAACAATATGAATATCAATTATTGTCATTTTTTGCAGAGAATTCCCAATTGAGAATGGGAAGGCATTGAATTTTATTTATAGCAGCAAGCAGTTCAAGACAAAGGGAGGTTTGGCAGCTGGAACTGCAACTACCAACTTATATCATAACGCGCATTTCAAGAAGACAATGAAGGCAATGCAAACCCCTTAGGAAATATAACCATTAGCTTAATGGCATCCTAATATCTTACTCTTCGAATGCCATTAAGAAAAGATAACCATTCTTAAAAATTGTCTCTAGCACACATAGCAACAAATGGAAAAGAACATAATACCTTAATGTAATTTCTAAGTTATAAACATGAAAAGAAACTACTTAATAAACATGAATGTTTTCAGTGAACTTCAACACTAGGTTCCTATTGATATGATTTTTATGTTAATCTAGTTCTAAATTTAATAGAATAGGCCAAAAATGATAATTTTTCTTGACACTAGTAAACTTATAGTCATTAAGTAACTTGAAGAAGAAAAACAATTCGACACCAAGCTAATTCAAGGACCTATTCAAAACTGAATACATGAAGAGTATACAAACTATAAAGGAAGCAGACTGTATATGGTACCAAAAATCTCTACAACGTCGAGTTTTAGAACACTGAATCTAAATCCGCGATATAAAAAAGAAACAGATTTTTCGGCATATAACAAAAAGCAACTATAGCTATTAATTTGGACAGAGAACTAAAGAAAAACAAGATAATATTAACGCAGAAGTAAGACAAGTAGTAAAGATTAAACACATGCTCGACAAGTGAGTAGTTCTTTTTCTGATATTGTTAGCTTCCTTAACCCTTTACATGTTGATGCTAACGGTAGCCATCAAGATCACAACACGTGAAAATTAATATCCAGAACCAAAAGAAAACATGAAATCTTTAAAAATAATACGAAAAGAGAGGAGTCGAGAAGAACAATTTCTGAACTCTAGTGGTTTTTCTTTCTTTGCTTTTAACATGCAAAGGCTGCTTATGGTAGAGCATCCAAAAATTTAACCAGTATGTTAGGATTACCTGTGGATGGAGATGGCTACCATGAATTTCTTTGCTTGAGCACTGTGTTGAGGGCCTGAGGCGATATAGATTTTAAGTAGGATTAGGGTTTTTTTTTTAAAAAAAAAAAGTTTCTTATTACTAATAGGAGGGAATATTTTATCGTAGAAGAAAAATTAGAGGGTAAAGTTAATCGCATGAAAAATTAGAGGGAAAAGTTAATAAATTTTCTTTTACTTTAATAAACTTAAAATGAAAATTTTATTTTTAAGCCAATTATTTCAACTTAAACTATAAACTTTCACTTAGAAGCTGGAAAAAAATCTATAAAATCCAATCACTACAACTCAAACTTATGATCATGGGCTCACACTAAGCTATATATATAGGATGGCAATATTGAGCAGTAACATCAAGTAAATTACTAAGATAAAGAACATATTGAAATCATGATAGAGATTTTTATATTTAGACAAAGATAGGAGGGGGCTTATTATCAACTTAATACTACAATTAATAAGGACAATTAAGCTTCATAATCCATGCTCAACTATATCACTGTAACATGCAAAATATACTACAGATGTAGTACAAATGATAATCACAAAGAACTGGATTCATATAGGGAAAGAAACTACACATGTTTAATACTAAATTGGACACATATATAGGAAAATATTAACATAAGGAATCTGATTTAATACCAAACATGTCAAAGGCTTCATTACAACACCATCAAGAATACTATAGAAGTGTACTGCCAACACTCTCATACTCTAAAAAAATAATGAGCAACGTATGACAGCAGAGGACATGTATAAGACATTTCTCTCCTAAAACAAGATAGGAACAGTTGTTTGAACATTCTTTAAAGAATACAAACTCAAAATTCAACTTATATTCAAAATCTGTTGAATGTGCAACTGCATAACTCATTCGGCACCCTCCAAACACATAACGAAAGCATGAATACTATTTCAACAATATAAGAACAGAACAATATCATGATGAACCAATGAAAAAAGCTAAAACATGAGGCAGGCATAGTGACCATGAATTATGAAGACTACAAATAGAGAAATAATTTCAAAATAGACACTAAGTGATATTAGAAACGAAACCTACACTACCAATTTCAATGAAAGTATGATGAAGATTAAGAATGAAAGTTAGACTTAAACACATCATGTAATAGAATCTTAGAGTCAATCAAAGAACACATCATTATCAAACATTTAGTGCAAACTGAATCAATAAAAGAGCTAAGAGTGCTTTATCTCGTTATGAGCAGCGACTGAGACAATGACGAGCTGAAATAAGCTATTCCACCACAACCGACTTCACTGGTGACCTCGAACTCAAATGAACCTTGGCTAGTGATGGACGGAAAGAGCGAAACTAACACTATGGCTTGCGCTGACGATCTATGACAGCAGGCATAACCTTCTTCCTGAGATGTGGCTTACCCTTCTTCATAGTAGCCATTACCATATCCCCAACACAAGCTGAAGGCAACCTGTTAAGCCTGCCCTTGATCCCTTTCACGAAAATGATGTACAGATTCTTCGCACCAGTGTTATCGGCGCAGTTCACCGTCGCCACCACTGGCAGACCCAGTGACATTCTGAATTTGTTCCCGACAAAACCTCATCGTCCTCGTTTCGACATCCCGTACGGTGTTGTTCTTCACGATCCCAAAAAATCTGAAGCCCTATAGTCGAGATTGAGAGAGATGACTACTAGAAAAGGAAAGAAGCAGGGCAGTGGTGAGAGTATGCAACCAATCAGAGTTCAACCAAAGAGAAATAAAGTTATATCTCATTAATGATGGAGGCCTTTATTTGGAATATTAGATCAGTGAAGTCACAACAAGCTTTTCAAAGGGTTCAAATGTTGCATAAGGTTCACCACTTCGCTTTTGTTGCATTATTTGAGCCTTTTCAGCATGTTAGATATATCAAAAAATACAGGAGAAGATTAAAAATGCCATGAGCCAATTCAAATTGCAATGGAAAGATATGGATTTTTACTAATCATGACTTTGACATCACTATTGTCAAAGATACTGAACAACAACTCACTTTGAGTTTGAAGCATCAAACTCAGCCCCAGAGTTTTTTTGTTACAATTGTATATGCGAAGTGTGATGCTATGCAGAGGTTGAACTAATGGGAGGATCTATATTAGGTTGCAGATGGTATTGATAGGCCTTGGTTGATTGGGGGCGATTTTACTATAGTTTTAAACGAGGAAGAAAAGATAGAAGGGTTACCCGTCTTAGATGCTTCCAAGGGTAATCCTGGTCCTAGTTCTGCTGCTTTTTGTGTGAGAGATCATACTTGTAACATCCGGCAATTTGAAATAACTATGAAGAGGCTTAGAATTGGAAATAGTCATATTTGGAAAGAATTAAAAATTTGGAAATTTTGTTTAAGTATGGGAAAAAGGTGAGTTTTTGGCCAACTTTGACCAGTCATAACTCCTAGATCAGGATGATTTAGGTGTAGTTCCAGTTATGTTTGCGAATCTCGTGGAATGATCTTTCCAACGCCACCGAGTTTGCTCGATTCCGAGTTTGTATGAGTGAGTTATGCCCTTTGGAAGTTGGGCAGTTGGCAGGGAAAATCCGTCCGAAAATTTTTAAGGGTATTTTGGTCTTTTCCCTAATCAATTCTTTTGGTTATATTAGGGTGTTAAACTGATTTTTTAGATCAGTTTTTCCCATCTTAAAGAGTGAGAGTGAGGGTTAGGGCTTTGAGAGAGAAGAAGAGGAGAAGGAGAAGAAGAAGCAA